CTTCCTGGGTCTGGGATCTGGAGCCTTTGGCCTGGTTCTGCCATACCCTGCTCTTCACTGAGAATCCACGTAACATCTCTTCTCTCCAACAGATCAGAGTCTCCATCCACTTCACTCTTCCGGGGGGAAAGTGGCACTTGAATAGGTTTATATTTCCATTAATTCTAATTAAACAAAATGAAAAGTTCAGTTCTTCAGTGACAGTAGCCACTTTTCAGATGTTCAATAGCTGCTTGTGGTTACTGCCTACCACACTGGGCAGGGCAAATATAACCCATGCCCTTCACCACAGAAAGTTCTATAGGACAGCGCTGTCTAAAGAATGCCAGTTTGGGAATCAAGAGGCCTAAATTCAAGCTCCAGCTTAGCACTTAGTTCACGCTGAGTTTAGACGAGTCCCTTTGCTTCTTGGAGTCTCAGTTTTCCCATCTGTGCAGCCCATCCCTCACCCTGTGCAAGGCAGAGCACAGCTAATGCTTGGCACAGATCTCTTGATTGATTCTCTCTCTACTGCCTTGGGGCGGGCCTACTTGGACTTGGGGAAAGAGGTGGGTAGGTGGAGCCCTGCTGATGTGGAGACTCAGGGACCCACTTGCCATCCTCAGGCTCCAGCAGCTCAAGAAAATACTTTAGAGCCCAGAGCTTGTCAGGCAAGCTTCTCTGAGTCTCCATGTCTCAGACAATTGTCTCCAGGCAGCAAAACCAGAGGCACGAGGGCAGGTCCTGCTTAGGGCTAGTGTGTTTCTTTCTGTGGGCTTACACAGGCCTGAGGGCAGCCTGAAGATCTCAAACTCAGAGAGAGGTCTGGGCATGGCCTGGGGGAGGAAGCAGACTCAGGGGCTGGTCCAAAGGGGAGAAGAGGCGTGGAGAGTCAGAAATGCACTATCAGCACTGCCCGTCCTCCCCACTTCCTCTCTTCGAACGGATCACATCCTGTTATTGTGTGGACATAGAAGGCCAGGAGCTGGGGAGGGAGGCAGGGCTCAGACCAAATGAGGGGGAGAACAAGGAGGAGCCAAAGAAAATGACACAGTGGGCATTGGGTAGCTCCGCAGCTCAGTCCTGCCTGACCCTAAGTAGCTAGGACAGGAGTAGGGAACCCAGGAGGAAAGAACAGTATCCCTGGAGCAGCTTGAATCTGCCACTGAGAGAATATGCTGGGGCTCAGACCAGGCTGTGCCTCACTGCAAAGGCTCCTGGAAGAAAGAAAATAGCACCTCCCCCAGGAAACCTTCCCCAGCATCTTCCTCGAGCTCCTTCAATCCAGGAAACATTTACTCTGGGCCTCCACTGCCAGAGCCAATCTCCAGTAGCCACTGTGTGTCTCTCTCTCATAGCACTTGCCTCCAGGGTTGCAATGCTCTGCATCCATCCCCTACACCCCACTTCCAAGCAGCTTGTGAGCCCTCTAGGGACGGGGACAAGGAAAGGTCCTTGCTGGCTCCTCAGCTTTGCCCAGCATGGGACAAGACCAGAGGAATCCCTGCTGCTGTGAACAATTAATGTTCCCACTTCTTTTACTCTTTTTCTTTATTCTGCCATTCCCAAGTACAGCCTTACCCCAACCCTATGCCAGCCATGGGGTTTAATAAGGCTGCTTTCAATGAAACACAACAACTTAACATATATTATTTTGAAATCCCATGACAGCCTTGTAAGATGAGTGTTAATATCTTCATTTAACAGACAAGTAAACTGGAGCTCAAAGAGATTCAGTGACTTAACCAAAGTCACACAGCAGGTACAGTAAGTGTGCCACTGTATCTTGAACCCAGGTAAGGCTGACCGCAAAGGCTTGGGTCTCTCTGTGGCCCAGCTGCCTTTCCTGCTCAATCCCACCTGTGCTCTGGCCTTTCCCTCCCAGAGCTGACACCACACTGACTGTCCTCACTGCCAGGAGTCTGTCTTTGAGCTGAATCTCTTGCTGTAGGCAAGCTCTCCAGAGCCCACGAGGATTGCCCGTGGCCCTATGCCGTGAGCATATGGCTGGACAAGCTGAACTGCCATCTCCCCCATTGCAGAGTGCAGGCCTAGCTGCTGTAAGAGCTAGGCTGTTTGGCTGTTTCTTCTTCTTCTCCTGGGGCAGTGAGCACTGTCTTTGGACTCAGACCAAAATTCAAATCCTGGGTCGCTTGGTGAAGCCCTATCCCCTCGTTAGGCCTCATTTCCTCCTCTGGACAATGGAGGGGGTGCCCTATGTGATCTTGACTTACTCTTTTCCTTATTATGACTCATGATGACCAAGCCTCTGCTGCTGGACACTGTGCCCAGCACCAAGGCCTGTCCCCCGAAGGCTGGTCAGAGGTGCCTGCCTGTCTCACACGGGCTGTGTGCTGGATGCTGGGGAACAGTTCATTGTTTTATAAGTAGGAAGGAGACAGTGGGCAGCATGAGGAGGCAAGGCTGCTATGAACAGACCAGATGCACAGCCTCCTCATCTTCATCACCCCCACCTTACTCCATCCAGGTCCAGTATGATAACCAGAGCTGTCACTTGCCCCTTACCAGCCCAGGACCATGGTATTAGGTGGGGGCTTAGAGCAGGCATTTTCTAGAAATGACCCTGTCTCCCACCCATTCATCCCCCCTCCACCCTCTCATTCCATACTGCCCTCAAAACCAAGCTAGAATATTCTATACAGGGGAAACTTTTCCTTCAACAAATGTTGAACATGACCTGGGGCAGGTCTGACATAGGGCGAGACAAATCAGTCATGGTTTTGTCCTCAAGGAGCTCGTGTTTGAATCAGGAAGCAGACAAGTGGACAAGCAGTAGACAGCACAGAATGAAGGAAAGCCTGTGGGGACAAAAAGGAAGTGGCTGACCCCATAAAGTCTCCTGGATGCTAAGGACAAGTTAACCAGCAAGGAGTATGGCAGCAGAGGATGGGTAAAAACAAGAAGTGCAAGAACTGGATAGTTATAAAAAGAAAAAAATTCAGCCTGGACCAGAAAGAATAGTGCAATAGGAGCACAGGGAATGAAGGGCAGATGGTGAGAGTGAGGCTGGAAAGATCAGCAGGCCATTCAGGCAAGGCCCTAGAATGTGGTCCCTTCCCTGTGGGGGGCACAGGTTATCCTGGGAGGCAGGAAGCCTGGTTCTGCCCTACCTGCCACTGCTGTCATTATTTATGGGACATGTGGCCCTGGGAAGACTCCTTTCCTCTCTGGGCCTCTGTCTTCTCATCTGCAGATAAGGACCCTAGCCAGATGATCCCCAGGCCCTGGGCAGCTTGGACATTTGATAGCCTTAGAATCTCTGCCTTGGTGCCACAGAGCTGATGGACTCTTCCTGACCTCTTTGCATATGGACAGCCTCGCCTGCTCCTGGGAAAGGACCTTCTGAAATGGATGCTCCTCCTTTCCATTCTCCATCCATCACAAGTCAGGCTGATGCTTCTATGCCTCTCTGACACTGTTCTCACTATAGTCATTGGTGACCTCCACATTGTCAAATCCAGCCCACAAGTCAAGCCTTTTTTTTTTTTTGGAGCTCTCAGAAACACTGGGCTTGGCTAACCCCACGTTTGCTTTAGCCTCTGTAACTCCACACTCTCCCAGTGTTCTCCAGCCTCTCCAACTGCTGCCTTGGCTTCCTCTCTCTGTCTCTGTCTCTTAACCTTTCACCATGTTGCTCCTCAGGCTTGTAAGCACAGATCAGGTCCTAGGTCCAGGACCCACCCACCACTCTCACCACCAAGACCCCACTGATCTCCCTGCCCCAGAGCTAAGACTCACCATCCCACCTGCACAGAGACCTCCTAACACTGGGCTACGGAGAGACACACACAGTCTTCCAAAAGCCAAAGAGCTTCCCTAAAGGTCAGAGCATGATCCCAAGCACTGTCGTGCTTTTACCCCCATAGCTACAGTTGGAAACACCCAGGACAGGACAGTCACAATCCAAACCTGGCAAGATGAGACAAGTCACCCAAGGGGAGCCAGCATTAGCTGTGAGCACCTGGACTTCCCTTCGTGGCAAATCTTTTTTCCTTAATACTAATCGCCCTCCAACTTACCATATGATCAACACATTTATGATGGTTATGCATGTCTGTGTTTACTGTCTCCCTACTAGAATTTAAACAACACAAGCACAGGGGTTGTTGTTTTTTTCACAGCTGGATCCCCAGTACCTAGAACAATACCCAGCTCAATAAATATTTGTTAAACGAACTCAAGAAAGGACTGGTACTCCATTGGAAATGCCTGCCTGACCTCCTGAGGACCCTAAAGATCCAAGATCCAGCAGTGCCCATGCAGAGGCCTCCTCAGAACCCAAGGCCCCACCTCTGAATGGTATTCCCATTCTTATGCCTCTATTCACTAACCCCAAAGCCTCAGCCTCCATTCCTGAGCCCTATGTGAGACTTACACCCCCCAATCATCAAGAGCCAGGAATAAGAGCTGCCGCCTCAACTGAGCCATCAGGGAACCTGGGAGCCTCCTTTGGTGAGTACTTAATCTGTCTTGAACCTATGATAAAGCACCTGCCACCCTGACCGTGTGGCTCAGTTGATCAGGCATTGTCCTTCAAAGTGAAGGTCACAGTTTCGATTCCTGGTCAGGGCACATGCCTAGGTTGTGGGTTTGGTCCCAGGCTGGGATGCATATGAGAGGCAACCCTCAATGTTTCTCTCTCACAATGACGTTTCTCTCCCTCTTTCTCCTTCCTACCCTCTCACTCTAAAAACTTAATTATTTTTATAAAGCACCTGACCAACCATGGAAGTGGAACCATACCCCTGGGGCAGCCCTGACTGGAAAGTGTTGGTGCACAAGTGCTGAGAAGAGGCCCTCTCTGTGAGGTACAGAAAAGGGAAAAGAATGGAAAACCTACTGGGGAAGCCTCAGGGAGGGGTGGGATTCCCCCTCAGAGGACAGCTGAGTCCTGAAGGCCCCCATTTCAGGGGAGACAGGTTCTTGCCACACCTTTGTTTTTAATGTCCCAATTCTCAGGCCTATGGGTGCAACATACAAGCACAAAGTCCAGCCCCCTTTGTAAAACTTTTATTTAGAAATCTTCCCAATATATCCTTATATATATACACACATCATCACCATATGGGTTTTGTCACTAAAGAGTCACACGCCCACAGTGTTGGCCTCTGGGCAGTACAAAGGTCAGGTACCTGGAGCGGTTACTCCTCTTCTGCAGAAAAACGCGGAGACCAACATAATTCATCAATTCATCACGTACAGTACAACATTGACGGAAAGTGCTGGGCCCGCCCACAGGAGCACTGCGCTATGTACATGGGCAGGGGCAAGCCTTCGGCGGGGGGCCACGTACCATTGACATCACAAGTACGACCAGACCACCCCCAAAGGCCGAGATAGTTGTCGACTGACTACAGACTCTGTGCCCTTGGTTTTGTTTTTGGAAAAAGGATAAAGGTTGTACCATCTTGTCATTTGCCACTACAAATAAAAGAATATAAATTTTTCTTAAAAGATGGGAGTCCCTCCATTTTTGTTCTCATGTTTTGTTTTTTTTACCTTTTCATGTTTTCCCTTTAGTACAGATATTATTCTTGGAATGTTGCCCTTTCTTCATGCGTGAGGAGGAGGCAGAGGAAACAGAAGGGTATGGGGGGGTGCAGGTGGGAAATGAAAATAAAATATGGATCTTCTCTAGTTCTTACAAAGACCTGAAGCTTTGTGTCTCCCTATCCAGGCCCATTTTAGGTAGTTGCATTACATTTTGCATACTCTGTCCATGTGCCCATATCTCTTATCCATTCTTGCTCTTGTACCTTGCCTTGGAATGAGAAAGAAATGAAGTCAATCATGAAGAAATAAGAACAATCTAGATACAGTAACTTAGGTAAAAATGGTTTAGAACCTAAATCACCCAAAGCTGAGTAGTCAGGTAGACTTGCCCACTGCCTAGCTTCTGGACTCAGGGTGGGAAACCCCACTGCAGGATTGCTGTTGTAGGCAGCAGGGTTCTTTATGGTATCAGAATTCTACTATCATGGTTCCAACCAGCCCCCACCAGAGCCCTAGGAGACAGGCAAGCCAGGGTATGGACCAGAAATTGGCACTGAAAGAGACAACTTGTCCAGGCCACCCTGGGAATCTGAGAGAAGAGGGAGCCAGGTGTTGAGCTCCTGGTAGAATGTGTGATCCATCTCCTAAAACCCATGCACCCGTCCACACTGCGGCCCCAAGTCAGAATAATCCACCGGGAAGCACGCACAGCCTTAGGACAGGCGCTCTGTCTTTAGGCAGATGGGATTCCTCACAGGAGCTTCCAAGTACCAGAAAGGAACCATTCCTAATATTCACTAAAATACGATTTTGGGGGGCTGACATGGGACAGACAGTGAGAGTGCTACAGGGTTAACCATGGTGCTCCCATCCCCACGCACTGGACCTCACAACTAAAAGGAGAGGGAGTGGGGGCAGGGATCACATGGCAGTATGAGGCTGCACTCGAGGCCCCCTCACGCTGAGGGCCAGACCTGAGCTGAAACCCAAAACATGTGGGACCTTTCCCAACAGCTGCAGTGCTGGTTCCTCCACACCACCATGGGTAGGGCAGAGCCATCGGATCATTCCCCTCTGACCTCAAAGGCAGAGCCTGGTTGGGGGTGGCTGGGGTGACTTGAGGGTACAATGACGGGTATGCAGGATTTGTGCGCAGTTGGTTCCATGAGCTTGAAATGCAGGTCACAGGCAGGCCTCACCTTAAGAAAACCACGTCCCATCACTTGGATTGACACAGAAGGTCAAGGAGGGGGCAGTGGTCCACTCTACAAAAGGATTCTTCACTTACAAAAAGACTCACGGTAGTATTTCTTTAAAAGATGAAGGATAAAGATTTGATTTACAAAAATGTCATGTACAACTTTTGGAGGGGGGCACTCCTATTGCATTAAGCCAGTCTCCCACATACACCCAGTGATGACTGAAAGTGACACAGTCGAGGGGTGTTTAAGATTCTGCTACGTGAATGTGCATATGTTTGAGTCCCAGATAAGGCCTGGATTTGGACTGGATTCCCCGTGTCCTAGAAGTGAGACTAGCTCCTGGGTGGTATCAAGACCTAAAGACCTCACCAATCACTGAAGTCGGAAAAAGTCCCAAGTGCCAGGAAAAAAAAATGCCAGGAATTTCTAGGACAGTTTGTGCTCATTTTGGTTTAGAACACCAACCAGGACCATTAGCTAACAGACATCCTGCAGCAGGGAGGTTCCTCTGAGCATCTTGGAGAATGCACAGACTGGGCTCCCATCTACTGTCAGCACCAGCACATGCCCACCAGCACACTGGCATTTGCTCACCACAGGAACAGGGATGTGTAGCTGAGAACAGAAGCAAGTAGCTCTGAGACATGACTGGCCTTCGAAGCCCATGTGCCCCAAATAGCAATTGGATGAAATTGGATGAAGTTGACCCTTGCTCAATTTCATCTAATCACATTTCCTCTCTCTGCCCATCACACAAAGCCCAAAGGGCAAGCCTACAGCTGCAGACTTGGTTCCCACAGCTGCAAAAATTGGGAAGGCAGGTTTCAGTGGGGAGAAAGTAAAGCTTCAATCCCCAGGGCAAGAAGTAAGGGCTACTTGGTTTTCTGACCCTCTGGCCCAGCTAGCCGGGAGCAGGTGGTCCACTGGCCATCTTCTTCAACCAGGCCCTGAAGAAGGCACCTTGAGGCTGTGACTCTGCAGCAGTTGGCAAGCTGGATGGACCAACATGGGCCTGGGTGAAGATGGGGCTCAAGAAATGGGCAGCTATTGGGTACCTATATATTTGGACAGTGTGGCCACAAAAGCCACCCAGCCAGCTTGGGAGGGGCTAAAGGCAAGGCAGAGGCTGCTGAATACCTCAGGTGAGAGCTGACAACCCCAGGTCTCAGGAAAGACAGGGAGGGCTTCCAAGCTCCAGGCCAAAAGCAGTGCTGCTCAAGCCTCTTACTTTAGAAGTCTTAGGATTTGGGGAAGGGAGAAGACTGTGCCGTCTTCATAAAAAGTACCTACCACTTTGCTCCATTTTTCTGTTCTCCTACTGAGGCAGGAAATGAAAAAGCCAGCCCCAGGACAGCTTGGGCTTCCCAAAGTTCAGGCATCAAGGAAAGCTCATCAAGTCCATTGCCCTACTTCAGAGCTGCCTAATCTTCACCCACCTTCCCTGAAGCCCACAGTTCCAGCGGCCTGAGGGCACCTTCCTGGCTGGCCCAGGATGGCCCCAGACCCATCACCGAGGGCCAGCTCCATCAGTGGCGGGCAGCATGGCAGGATGGAGGCTGCGGGCTGTGTGCTTGGGTGCAGGCTCTTCTGTGTAGCTGTCCGGGCTGGCTGCCCCATCCAGGGAGCTGCCACAGCTGGAGTTGGGGGACAGCACATCCTGCAGAAGGTCGTCTGGAGGTGCACCACCCCCTCCTCCCCCACCCCCTCCACCAGCCCCCACCACGGGGTCCTTGCCAGGCTTGGCCCGCTGGGTGCCCTCTTCCTCCTGGTCATTGAGCAGCTTGGCCAAGAAGTTGATGTACTTCATGGCCAGGCGGAGGATCTCATTCTTGCTGAGCTTCTTGTCTGGGGGGTGCGTGGGAATCAGCTTGCGAAGCTCAGCAAAGGCCCCATTCACATTCTGCTGCCGCCATCGCTCCCGGCTGTTGGTGAAGATGCGCCTTACGACTTTGGTATGGGGACCTGGAGGGCACCAGGACAGGGTTAGGAGCATGGATTGGGAATCTCCTAAGGATCTTCTGCTGAAGGGAAGGGGATAAAAACCATCCTTTGGGAAACTTGGGAAATCCAGAATGCCTTCTTTCCAATTACTTAGAAAACTCTTACTCATCCTTCAAAACCCAGTACATCTGTTTCCTCTTCTCTGAAGACTCCTCTCACTCCCTCCAATGAGATTTAACCAACTGCCATAGCCCTAATGCCCCTGAATCTCCATTACTCTTGATCATTGCTGTATGCTTCTGTGCTTCTCTCTCTCTCTCTCTCTCTCTCTCTCTCTGGGCAGTGAGACATTTGAGGATAGGGGCTGTTTATCATTCATTCATTCACCAACTCACTTATACCAAGAGGCCATATAGTACTAGTTATGAAGACAAACTCTGGAGCCAGATTTTCTGGGTTCAACTCCTGACTACTACTCACTAGATAGTGACTTTGAGCAATTTACTTAAACCCTCTCTGCCTTAGCTTCATTATCTGTAAAATGGAGATAATACTAGTCACTCAAGTGTAAGACTATCACATGGATCTAAAAACTAACACAGGCAAAGAATTTAGGACAATGCCCGTCTCAGATTAAACATTCATACAATCAGTGTTAGCTATTATTATCTGTGCATCAGTTATTTCCTAGGAACCAGGCACTAAGGAATAATGGTGAACCAAACAGACAGAGTGGCTGCCCTCCCAGACCTTACATTTTAATGGGAATGACAGATGATGAACATGCAGCAAACAGATAAAAACAGATAGGAGGCTAAACGCAAATAAAGATGGAAGGGAACTACTAGGTTTAGCTGAGTTGGTTGAGGATGGCCTGTTGGAGGAGGTAACATCTATAAGGAAAGAACTTAAGGCTGAAGAAGAGCCAACCAGGCACAGAAAGACAGAATGGTATGTGCAAAGGCCCTGAGCTGAAAAATAACTGAAACCAGCCTGGCTGGATCAGAGTGGGTGAGATCAGGGAAGGCTCAGTCCAGTTCCACAGGGCCCTGCAGTAAGGTGTGAGGATTTTATTTGAAGGGTGATGAAAAGCACAGCGTAAGGATTTAGTAAATGTCTGCTGACTGATCATGCTGGCAGGTAGGGGACTGGAAGAGAAAGCAGAGACCAAAGGGAAAAGGACTTACACTGTGGGCTCTCTCCCCCCAGAGGGAAGTGGACAGACAGCCATGCACAGGCTCGGCCTGAGGCTGTAGGCAAGCATTTGAGGGCTGCCTCAGTCTATGCATGTCTATAATACATTGATTACAGACTGAATCAATATTCACTGGTGTTCACATACTAAGACTTGCAGAACAGTAGCAGACACCAGTGTGTATGTATCTAGCACGTATGATGTGCAAAGCACTGTGTTATATCCAAGCCTGACCTGGATTCCCAAAGCCAGGGAAGACAGAGGTGAGCCCTGCTAGTGCTTCTGAGCTCTGGGCTGGGGTGCCCACTTCCCTCCCCATCACAGAGCTAGGCTCCCAGCAGTCTTCAGGACACTCTACACATGGAAGGAACTGCCAGTACTGGCATATTTGTTTGTTCTCTTTCCTATAATCTCTGGAACAAGACCTCAATATGTGGAAACTTGGGTAGGGGAGAAAAAGAAAGGAAAAACCAAGACATCCCTTGAGATCCACTGCTCATTTCACAGCTAAGGGATCTGGGACAGAGAAGACCTTGCCTCCAAGGTCAGTCTGTGACCCAGCTCCTCTGTGCCAGCACTTCCTGCTTGATCATCTCTCCTACATGTGTGCACATGCACTCACACACACATGTTTTCCTGGGAAAGATCACTCGGCCCCTGCCACAGTGCCTCTGAAGCTGTCCTTCCAAACCCCAACAGGCCCCAGCCCAGCTGACTGTTTGCCAAAGCCCAGACCCAGGCTTGGAAAAACATAGCACACCTGCTTAGCAGTCCTACCTTAGGTGCCTCAGTTAACTTGCTGTTCTCTGCCTCCAGGCCAGACAATGGGGAGTCCCTCAGCTGTGACTAGGGAGGACCAGCCCCTGCTCCATGACTAATGGTAGCTGATCTTGAGGGAGCTCCTACATGGGGAAGGGAGGGAAGCTTTATGACTGCTGTCACAGCTAGAACTAGACAGGTTCCAGAAGAAGCACCTACCCTGCGCCAGGCACTAAAAACACTTCACCCCATTGTACACTTTCAATAATGTGAGGAAGCTGTTATACCCCTCACTTTACAGATGAGCACACCAAGGCCCAGAGAAGTTCAGCAACAGGAACCACATCAAGTCCTGACTTTGGACATTGCATTAGTTCCACTACTATGTACTCTTTTTGGTTAAATTTATGATTCAAAGTCAGTGGGCTTATCCTGCACCCTCACACCCTCCCCTTCACCATCATTTCTGTCTATTCTTCTGTAGCTCCTCCCCAGGGAACTACCCACCTCTCCGCACCTTACTGCCTGAGTCTGTCCATCCTGTATGACCTCTGTTTCTCTCTGGCTGGCCACTGAATAGATGCTCAGTAAATATTGGTAACATTATGAGTAATGGCTTCCCTAACACTCCTGCATTCCCTACAAACCCTTACACCTTCCCATCTCTTTCCTCTCCTCTGTGCCTATTTCTGCTGCTTCTGCCCTTCATAGAAAACACCTCTTGCCTGGGGAACTCCAGGGCTGGTCCTGCCTACCTCCTGTTCGGTACACCCACCTCCCCTCTCTAACCTAGCATCAGTGACACCCCATCACCCTTCCCTCTTGGCCCTACACCCATGTTGCCCCAGACTGGTTGGATCTTTTGAGGTCTGTTCCTTGCCTAGACTCTATCTGTCTCTCCAGAAGACCACAGAGAGCTCCCCTCCAGAAGCTCCAGCTCAATGCACATCCCTCCCACCTGTCCTTTGCATGAATCCCAGCCTGGCTCCAAGGCCTCAAGTGTCTTTCCTTCAGGAGCCCAGGCCCAGCCATATTGAGCACCGGGAGCTCCAGGGGTTCCCTCCACATCCCTCAGCTCTGAAGAGCTTGCTGTCCTGGCCCCCTGGATCTGGGCCCTATCTCCTACATCAGGTCACCCTTGGGAAGAGGGAAGGGGTCTTCAAATTGTTCACTCATTCAACCTCTTCCCTCAAGGTCAGGGCCAAAGACTACTCAGGCAGTACATAACGGCAGGGCTAGGGGCCCTTCTGGGGAAGCAAAGGGGCAGTGTAGAATCTATGGTGTCAGAAAGGGAACTTCGGGTCTCTGCCCTGAGTGTGGAACAAGGGACAAGAAGGCCCCACAATGTAGGGACTTAGGGGGAATTGCACCATGAAGGTGCAAGTCCAGGCAAGGAGCAGACTCCAGACTCCAAAGAGGTCTTAAAAAGAAGTGCAGGGAATCTTTGAGGGTTAGTGCTTAGTGTAGGGGCAACCTGTGTTTTTGTCCTCCCCCAGGATCTTTGCTAAGCATGGCAATAGAGCTATAGTCATGACTGCAAGGGACCCTTAGAGGTTTGGGCTAAAGGCCACAGTGTATCTTCACTCCCACATTCCCTCTTCCCTAGTCTACTTCCAAGATCTATTTGCAAGGCTACTTCCAGCAATTCGGGGTTCCAAGGTATCCTGCCCATCTATGTGAGACACCTAGGAGTAGTCCCCATGATCCCTCCTTTAAGGGGCTCTAACCAGCATGAGAGGCAAATAACAAAGGTGGGGACAGACAGACTCACCATCAGTAATCTCCATCTCATAAGGGGAGGGTCTCCTCTTCACTCGGTTATTGGTGGCAAACATAGAGAAGGCATCTGGTTCCCCAAAGAACCCACTGTGGGAAGGAGCAGGCAAATCACAAGATCACACCTAGGGTGGAGGCGAGTCAGAGGTTCCTTAGCAATCCCTCTGCATGTCCTTGAACCTCCCACCCCTGGAAAAACAGGAGCAGCCCTGGTCCCTTCACACCTGAATTGGGGATAGGAGCATGAAACACACACACACACACAAGCATACACAGAATGCTCCCAACCTCTCTCTGTGGTGGAACAAGCAAGGGGTGGTAAGGTCACATACCCACACATCCCTACACACACACACAGTCAGAAGTGAAAATATGGAACAAACAAAAAATGAACACACACCCCCCACAAATAGACATACTTCCCTCCCCCAATACAAGCACATAATCTACAACCTCCACTCTCAAACAGGTGCTCACACTAGCAGATATGACCTTCTCACTTGGTGCTGTGCAACTCCAGCACCACAAAAGGGCACACTGTCCCTTCCCCGCACCATTTTCACCCTGGTCCCATGGGGCCTGTGGACAGACAACAGACAGGAAACCCTGACTCCTCACTGCTGCCATGCCCCCTCCATCACCCATTTTGGGCTCTCTACAGCGTTTTTCTGGAGTCTCCTGAAGACCCACTGAATGACCCACATTGTGCATCCCTGTCTCATCCGCCTGTCCCCACCCCAACCCTGCCACCATCTCTTCACCATCTCAGTGGCCTTGGCAGGGAAATGGACACCCTCACACCAAGGGGTGGAAAAGCTTGAGGCCAGAGGCCACAGCTAGGGACGGAGAGGCTGGAGATAAGAGGAAGGGTTCTACTCCCAAGGCAGGCCTTGGAGCAGAGATTTTAGATGCAGAGGAGGGGGCCCATTTCCAAACGCCCTCAGACCCTTATCTCGTACCTGTCCCCAGAGGGCTGCAGCTTCCGGAAGGATTCACAGTGGAGCACATTCAGACACACTTGCCAGCACTCATTCACGAGACTCCCTCCTGGCGTCCCTTACCCCGAAACCACGCAACGCACCCTGCTTCTGCTCACACACGGCCACAGGCCTGCACTCCCCCTTGGCTTACCCAGCCCGGGCGCGCTGCAGTCACAAGGCACTCCATGTCTGCCGGCGCCCGCTCACGCACGCGCTCCCCCACACACGCTCACAGCGAGCTCCTTTCTCATTTGCACACGGGGACCCCAGCTTCTAGGCTTTGACGCCCATGAGTTTAAGACACCCCATCTCTTCTTGAGCTCCAGTCAGGCAGCCCACAAAGAGCCGACGAGGTGCCTCTCGGGCCGTGACCGCCCGCCCGCAGCGCCCTCCCTCGGGGCACCTACCTGCCGAGTGTCGCCAGCGGCTGGCTCAGGCTGTAGAGCAGCGTGCGGCCGGGGGCGGCCGGGGCCGCCAGCGCGGGCGGGCTCAACTGCACCATCCGGCCGTCCCCGGTCAGCTCTGTCGGTGCCGGAGCGGGCGCGGGCGCCGGGGCGGGCCCAGGAGGTCTGCACAGCTCGGTGGTCGGCACCCGGGGGCGCGCTTCGGCCGCTGCGGCGTCGCGGCCCTTTAAGTCTCGCACGGCGCCGCCCCCACCCGCGGGGCCGCCCCCCGGGCCACCGCGCGCTCCCAGCTCGATCACCGGGGGCTCAGCTGGGGTAGCGCGGCTAGTCTCCTTGGCGACGCCGTTCAGCAGGACCAGGTGCGGGGGGGCCATGCGGGCCTCGGCCGCCTCCCGTCCCTCTAGCGGGGGGTCACTGCGTGCCGCCTCGCTGGGCGGCTGCTCCGTCATCCTGAGGGCAGACAGACAAACAAGCGGACGCCCGCTCTAAAAACCAACCCCAGTCCACCGACGTGGGTGGGGTAAGGGGGTGAGGGCGTGAGGGCAGAAAGAGAAACTCACACACCGAGACGTGAGAAAAGGCGACAAACTTAGAGCCACATCAACACACACTGGCCCTCTAGGCCTAAAGGCCAAGCAGGGCTGGGGAGGGAGGGAGGGAGGGATGGGTGGGGGAACGCTGGTTTGGGAGAAGAGGGGAGGGTGCCTGAGAGGCACGGAGACCAAGGGCCGAAAGGACAGACAGAAGAGGACGACAGATACAGTGGAAGAAAAGGAATACAGCATCGAAAGACAAACAGAAGAGGGAAAAGGAGGAAGGAAATGTAGAAAGAGGCGAGAGAGAAATATCGCCACCACCACCCAGTCCCCCTTCTCAGGCCGCAAGGGAAGAGGAGGGAACAAATCCTCGACCGAGTTCCTCCCGCCCCTCTTTTGGTTTTGGCGGGGAATCTGTCCCGCGGAGGTGGGGGTCTTTAAGAACCTCTCAGCGATACCGACTCCAGCCTACCGCCGTACACACACCTAGAAACCTGGTGGGTTGCAAGTAGGGAGTTTAAGGAATGGAGGCTACAGGACCTGAGGTCCACTCTGCTGGAGCTGCCAGAGAATCATACGGAGGAACCAGCACCCCTTTCAACATATATTCACCCTCCTTGGGGTGTCTGTCTACACTAAGCAGATCCACGTTCTATTCTGTGCAGTCACCGAAAACCCCAGCCACCCTTTACCCGCACTGGGACTGTAGATGAGACATCTGGAAGGGAAGATAAAGATCCTGGCCCTGCTTCCCTGCACACTCCACTCTCTCTGCTCACCTGCACTCAGAAGTGAGGTGGGGTCTGGAAGGGAAGGCCCGCTGAGGCAGTAAGGAGCCTGAGGGTGCCCCTGAGGCTACTGGGGCCTGGGCTCCCATCCACGCATGGAAAGGGGTGTCATAAAGGCCCTTGCACTCTTCCAGCACTCCCCTACTGCCTTTCTGCCTTGGCGACGTCCTCTGGGAAATACCTCCTTATACATTTAAAAGCACTGTGCAACAGCTCAAGTAAACATTATTATTGACTGGAAGACTGGGCCACTCAGGGGACCGCTGCCTTGCCCCAAGTCACACTGATTTGCAGAACTCTGGTCTCACTCTGCCTACACTATCCTCCCTATATGCACTCCCATATACATCCCCGGAGCCAAGGACACTCCTCTCCACAGCCACACTCCAGGATGACGACAAAGGCTCCAATGCCCCACGAGCCATTTCTCCCGTCACCCTGCTTCAATGCCAGTGGAGCCAGGCCCCACCTAGGACTAAAACAAAAACAAAACAAAACAAAACAAAACAAAACACCATGAGACTCGAGGCCCAGAGGTTGGGGATGCTTGTAAGTTGTTTTATTTAAAAAACAAACCAAATTCGGCAGTCTTCATAAGCTGTTCAAAATAAGTTTCCTGTTTTCAAGATTATATAATTGGGGTATTTTATAGCAGAAACTAAATACATGAATATCCAACTCGCCCCCAAGCAGAGTCCAGCTAATCACTCACGGCAGCCATTGAGCTCCCGTTCTGCCACTGCAGTGCTCCAGAGGAAGGCAGCCTGGGCACCATCCTCGCACACGAGAAGAGGCACTGGATGGACTTTCTGAAACCTCTCCTTAAGCTCAGCTCACTTGCTACCAGACACACAAGCCAATGCAGAATCATCATTCAGGCTGTGCTCCTTCCCTGGGTCTGCCAACCCTGAGGCCCAGCCCAGGAACAACAGAATTCACTGAGACCTGGTGCACATGAGCTGCAAAGGCAGTGGGTCCACAACACTTCACTGGCAGCGAGTTTATGATTATGGCAGAAACAATAGATCTGCATCCACAGAATAGGGCCAACAGGATAGTGCGGCCACTAGAAATGTGCCCAAGGAATACGTGTAGGCCCTTCTGGTTCCTCGGCAGCAGTGAAATGCACCAGAATATACTATCCTGCAGCAAAACACACACGCCCCAAGGTGCTGGCTCCCTACCTTACTGTCCCAATGCGTGGCGTGCCCAGTGACACGTGCTTCAGCCCCAGTTTCTAACCGAGCAACAGACAGTGTGCACTGCAATCGGACTGAGCTCAGACTCTCCTTATGATACATTTATACCCTCTGATTAATTCCAGGGCTCCCCCGCTGAGCTAGGAGCGGATCCTGGAGGGGTAAGGGGAGTACATATTCCATATGAGTTGTCCGTGGCCCCAAATGCTCTGCCAGAGACCTATAAATATCTATATCTCCCAGGCTCCCTGTGGAAAACCTATGATTGGTCCCCAGGGTCTGTGGCGGACCACTCCCTGCCTGGCCCTCCCCGGAACTCAGGAAAACCAAGCAGGTTCTTCTGCAACCAGCGTCACCCAGGCCAGGGATCCGTGCCCCAAGGGACGCCACAGGAGGACTCACAAACACCTTGGGTTGTCAGTTTTCAGGAACTAACCGCATCACTTGACTTCATTTAAGATTACTAAAAAGAAAGCCTGAGTGATTTTCGTTTTTTTGTTTTTATTTGGGGAAGATGAGGGAAGGGAGAAAAGGTTTCAATCTGAATGGCATTATTGAATTCGACCACTACAACTCATCCGTCTTTGTGCAGCCAGGACCCAGCTCGCAGCACCCGACACCGGATTTTCACTTTTGTTGCCAGCCGCCAGAACGTTTCTGTGTGCCGGAACAAGTCTGGGACCCGGGAGCTTTGGGGTGGGGGTGAGGGGGAGGCGTCGGGTGCCTGGCAGCTCCCAATTCCGAAATGCAGAGTTTCTTATATGAAAAGAGCCCCCGGAATGCCTGGGGCTAGCGCCACCGCCTCAGACCCCACAGTGCACCCACACCCGCACGACACCCTTGGGGGAGCCCCAAGTACGCTCGCTGGAGAGCCCGCAGCGCCAGTGAAGAGAACCACTTCCCCCGGCTGCTAGGGCAGTGCAGGGGAGCTCCGCGCCTCACCCTAGGCTTTCAGCCCCGGCCAGGGCCCACCCGAGTCAGGACCGCTCTAGCCAGGATGGCTGCGGCCTTCTTCCTGCTGCCGGGTCCTCGGCGGCGCGGGCGGCGCGGGCGGCCCGCGCCACCCGGACGCAGCCTCCCCAGAGTAGGGAGCCTTGGGCAACGTCCACAGAACCGATGGGAGCGCCCTGCGGGACTGGGGTTCTGGTTTTATTAGTTGTAAAAAAAAAAAAAAAACCCACAAACGACTAGCTTTTGGCTTTTTGTTTTTAACCGAGAGTCGAAAAAGGAAAGGGCCCTGCTGGGAGCCACAGAGGGCACGGTCAGCGGCGGTGTCAGATCGCGGATACCCAGCTGCAGGTTCGTCCTCCCCTCCTCCTCCTTCCGAGACCCGACAGTCCTCGGTCCTGAGCCTCCCCCACCCAGGCCGGAACCCGAGGCCTTCCTGGACACAGTTTCCACAGACAACGTTCCCCCCAAACTCACCTGGGGCATATTTAGAGAGGCCGACCCCTCTGAACAGGATCTCCACGCCGCCGCTGGACACGGGCCGGAGCCGAGGTCCAGGGCGCGGACGCGGGTCTTTGCTTCCCCGGGTCTCGCCGAGACACCGGCAGTTAGGCCGCGGCGTGGTCCTGGGCGGTCTGCCGCGCCCAGACCGAGTTTCCAGGAAAGATGGGGGTGGAGAGAAAGAGGGAGGGCGAGAGGGAGGGAGAGAGAGAAATGGGGGTCAATGGCTGAGCATTACCTCACGTCCTCGCCAGCGAGCCCAGGGGAGTCGCGAGCCGCTTTCCGCCCCCAACCTGCAGGTGTTCACAGCCTCCCCCCAGCCCATAAAAAGACCCTACACCTGACCAATCAGGAATAGCGACTCAGTCCAACCACAACAACAGCCCCGCTGCAGTCCTCCCGGAACATTTGCGGACCCTGCAAGCGGGGCGTCTGGCTCGGCGCGGCCGAGTGTGCGCTCTCAGCACCGGCGTGTGGACCAGGCTGGCTCCGCAGCCGTCAGGCCGAACCCGAGGCCTCAGCGCACAGTGGTCCGCAGACTGGCTTGGGTGTGTGTGTTGCGGGGGGGGGGGGGGCGTGTGGAACGTGTGTCAGAAAAGGGGGATCCAGGCTTCAGGCCCTGGTCCGTGGAGCAGAGCCTCTGAGCCCTCCATTCTCTCCGTGCCCCCCACCTGCCCATCTCCAGCCCAAAGCGAAACCAGAACCCGAGTCAAAGACTGCTCTCGCGCAGGAATGGGCTCGGAACCTCAGGGATCCGAGAGAAGGGGGTGGTGGTGGTGGTGGTATTTGATCTATCCAGGACCATTTTTTCTTCCCATTGTTTAAGGGGAAAAAACAAGAAGAAGGAAGGAAAGAAAAAAAAGGAAATGAGGACAGAAAAAGACTTTAATTTGGGCATGAGTGCACGACGCAGTGTGCAGATGTTTTATTGAGTGGTACACCTGAAACCTGTACGGTTTTATTAACCAATGCCACCCCAATAAATTCAATTTTAGAAAAAGAAAGGAAGGAGGGCGATAACCAATGCCTCCCTTCAACCATCTCTACACAACGAATTTGGATTCGTCGGTGTTCAGACCTGCAAGGAAGGGGAAAATTCTAATACTTCCTCGCAGCGATAAACGAGGCACAGAGGAAGGCAAAAACAAACCCGCTGTTGCTTTCCAGAGTGTAGGGGTAGCAAGATTTAATTTGCTTTTTTTTCCCCCCTCTTCGGAAGGTTTTGTTTAATTTGTTTTGTTTAAATCTTCCAGTCTATATGGGATCAGTCATGAAAATTTTGGATTGATTGCAAAAGTCTCCATCTTTTTGCCCCGATTTTGGTGGAAATATAGGAACAATTACTGCCTGAGGTTTCAGTCCAATGCGGGAGATTTTCTTTCTCCTCTAATCCACAGGGCAGAGGGGCGGGAAGAAGAGGAATCCGCTCATTCCCGGTGTCTTACGTCGGGACTCGTTTTTTGCTGTGTGATCAGTCCTTTTCTCCATTTTCTCCCTCAACCCTAAATCCAGGAATGAGAGAGAGACAGAGACAGAGACAGAGAGAGAGGGAGGGAGAAAGAGAGCGCTGCTGGCGGGGAAGGGTGGGGGGAGCCTCGCGGCTTTGTTATGGGTCCAAAGGAGCTAAAAGGAAAAAAGCCTCTTTACTTCTGGACGATTATTTTAATTAATAAGACAATGACGATGACATTAGCAACCACTGTAACTGGAAAAGAAAAGAAAACCCTTTCCTTCGGACCTAAGGCAGCACTGACCTCGTCCCTGGGAGCCCGGCCCGGGTCCCCGATGCGACGGGTACCCGACCCTCGCGGGAATGTCGCTTACCGGGGAGGGGTGGAAAAGTGTTCCTTGGAGGTGATCCCGAGGGCCCCCACCCGAGGCTCGAGGCTTGGAGAATGCGCCCATTGTCTTTTCCGGGCGTCTACCGCGGAGCCCAGCGGTCGTACCCGCGAGACTGACCAGAAATGGACAAACCGCCTGAGTACGGCAGGGACCCAAGCCGGCGGCTACCGGCTGGGAGGCGCGGGCCTCGGCGAGCGCTGCTCAGCTTGGAGCCTGGAAGAGCCTCCCACGCATTAGCAAATCCCCGAAACACCGAGGCACAGACTGGCCTCCAGTCAGAGCAGCCACCGATCCGGCTCTGGCTCTCCATCCAAGCCAACAGTGGCTTCCGAATACCTCGTAATTTGGAATAAAGTGTGAAATCCTTGTCCCCGCTCCCAGTCAGCCCCCTCAACTAGCGCCTTCATCTCCCTCGCGCGTTCCCTGCTACCGGCCAGCGGTGTGCAAATGCACATCTAAAGGACACAAGCACACAGTCATACAATCCAGTCCTGTGGTGAGACAGGACCACACACTGTCCAGCCCCATGGCAGGGAAACACAGCCCCATTCTGCCCCACAAACCGACATGGTCGGGCCCGTTCATTGTCCACTACGACACAACGAAATCAGTCCAACGCAATCGCTCGCGGACACACAACTCCACCTAGTCGAGATCACACACGCCCCACACAACAACGGAACCACCCAGACACAATCTCAAAGGCCGCACAGCCCACACACAGACCAAGACCCGTGTCCAGAAGCCAAACTAACGTAATTATGTGCGACAAAGAAAACGCAGAAGAGCCACCAAGAACCCAAACCCACACACCCAAACCGCGCAAACAGCACCCCACTCAGACGCACGCCCGATCGCCAACAGCACCACACTCGGAGAAGCCCACGCCGCCCGCTGCGGACACACGCGCTCTCACAGTCCCACCGCACGCACACAACCACGAAGGAATGAAAACCAACCACCGCCTCGCGCGTTTCTGTATATTGCGTAAGGAAAAGGGGAAGGAAGGAAGAGAGTCTCTGAGACGGGAGGGGCGGCGGCGGCGAGCGCGACGGCGTCCGTGGAAAATACCCCCCACCGAAAGAAGTCGAAGGAAAAGGAGCGAAGAGCTCTCCGGAGAGCAGAGAAACGAGCGGGAGGGGATGGACAGGGAATCCCGGGAGGCCGCAGGTGGCTCCCCCCCCCCCCGCCCCCAGAAAAAGGCCGGAATGCTCACGTTTTGCAGCTACGAGGGGACGCGTGTGGCCAAGCTGAGGCCTGGGCCTCGGTGCGGGGGGGCCGCCCCCGCCCGCCCCCGCCCGCGCCGGCGCGCGCCGCGCCCCCGGCCGCTCCGCGGACTCGCTCTAATCCCGCGCACGTTCCAGGCCTCGTTAGCATGGGCCGCGGCGCGCCGGGGCGGCGTGCGCCGCGGAGATAAGGCACCGCCGCGGGTCCGCTCGCCCTCGATAAGCGCCTCGGCCATTATGGGCCAAATGATTCATTTTAATTTGGCAATTTCACCGGAGGGAGTGGGGACTGGCTGCGTGGGGCTGGGACCCTCTCCGGAATGCGCCTCACGGAAAGTCGGGCGCTCTGTCTAGGACCCGACGGGTCCAGCCCCATTTCTGGTCGCGAGGCCTCTCGGAAAAAAACAGGCTCCCCGCCACCTCACCCCTCCCTCGGCCTTCCAGACGCCTTTCCTCAGCGACTCCCCTCCCGGTGCTCGGTCCCTGCCTCTGAAGCCCGGGGCACGGAAACCATCACTCCTAACCCTTCCTTGCAGCCCCATTTTATTCTCTCTCCAGTGTCCTACACACCCCGATTTCACGGGGCAGCCACTCCGATATCCTACATCCTCCAGCCTCCCTTCTTCCCTTCCCACCACCCCCCACCCCGGCCCTTCCACCACGCACCCCCCTCCCCTTTTCTGCTCTAAAATGCAGTCTGCTGGCCGGAACGGCACCGGCTGCGCTCGCACCCGGGCCTCTGTGGAGGCAGAACTGGTGTCAGTGGAGAGATGAAAATGTCCATTCTACTGCGTTTCAGGCTGAGCCCAGAGCCCAGGAACATCCCTCCTCCCATCACATTTTAAACGTTTTAACCTTGCTCCCGAAGCACGGTTCTAAGCACTCTACAAAACATCAACTCATTTAGTTCTCATAGGCAATCCTAAAAGGCTGGCGCTATTCTTATCCTCAGTTTGTAGATGAGGAAACTGAGGCACAGAGAATAAAAGTGATTTTCCCAACGTAACGCATGAAGTGAGTGGTGGAGCAGGAGTTTGAAGCAAATTATGCAGAGCCCTCTCCAGAGCCCGGCTGACGAAGAAGGGCGGCGGCAGCCTAGGTGTGGAGGGAGATGTGGGCTTCACTCGTTGGAGGGAACAGGGTCTGTACTGTGGGGCAGCAAGCCGGGTTCAGGGAGGTGTAGGAGACTGGGGCTCAGCCCACAGGGGTATCTGGGTTCTTTCTTTTATGGTGGAGTGAAAATAGCACAGGTTCAAATCTTACAAGTCCCTTAGCCTTGAACCTCAGTTTCTTCATCTGTGAAATGAGGAGGTAATACCCACCTCACAGAGTGGTTGCAAGGATTAAATAGAATGACCTTTAAAAGGTGATGGCGAGGACAATAATCTATGAAATCTCACCCAACACAGAGCCCAGATGACATCATAGGCACTTGTATGGGAGTTCTGGCTATTATTACAGAGAAAGAAATTAAGGCACAAAGAGACATGACTTGGCCAAGCTTAAAATGCCCTAGGAAGAAAAGCCAAGACCCAAACTTGAGTATCCAGTTCCCAGTCTACAACTCAACCCACAATGCCCAGCTGCTTTCTCCTTCCAGAATCTGGTTTTGAGCTTCTTTTGGGAGCTGAGAACTAGGGAAAAGACCTTTGCCTGGTCACAGACTGAGTCCTGGTCAAGGACTGAGCTCAGAATGCGGCTACTGTCTGAGTGCTGGTTCGCCCCTGGCTGTCCGGACAGCTCTCCACGAAGATGCGGTTCATTCAGTGCAGGCTGTCTGTCTCCTCTGTTCCTTTTGTGGTCTTCGTGGAAGTCAGGGTGTCATGTGGGTAAAGGTAACTTTTACAGAAGAATCCTGTGGAAGAAGGGCCATCCATGGCCTGAGAAAGAGTGCAATTCCACAAGGCCTCCCCTGGCCCAGCTACACCAACTGCAGAGAGGGGACCCTGAGGAGGGGCCTCTGTGATCTGTTCAGCCCCACTTCTCTCATCCATAGCTGCAGCCCTGCCTCTTTTACTGTTACGAACTCTAACTCTCCTTCCATTGTGTCTTAGCTTCTGCTGGTCCTTCTTCTGCTTTATTGTCCTCCTCTTCTCACATCCATCCTTCCAGATTCACCATTTATGCCACTTTCTGCCTGAAGGCTCCCTGCAAGGGGTTGGCTTTTCTCTCTCCCTCCTCTGGTCTCCATTGCCTTTGCTTGGCTGCATCACTTCATATTGGGTTGGCCAAAAACTTCATTTGTTTTTTCTTCCATAAGATGTGTCTAGTAGTGCTTAATTGTCTTTAACTTCACTTGAAATGATTTTGTTAGATTGTATTGTGACAGCTGTCATGTCAGTGTGTGTTTCCTAAACAAAATCAACATTGGTGAATTTTTGTGTAACCATTTTAATGTTGAAGGTGGAAGAAAATAAGCAACATTTGCAGCATATTATGCTTTATTATTTTAAGAAAGGTATACACACAACTGAAACATAAAGGAAGGTTTGTGCAGTGTATGCAGAAGCTGCAGTGACTGATTGAATGTGTTAAAAGTGGTTTGCGAAGTTTCATGCTGGAGATTTCTTGCTGGATGATGTTCCACGGTCGGGTAGACCAATTGAAGTTGATAGCGATTAAATTGAGACATTAATTGAGAACAATTGACATTATACCATGTGGCAGATAGCTGACATACTTAGGATATCCAAATCAATCAAGTTATTGTTGAAAAAGAAAAATGTGTTTTTTATTTTACGGACAAAACCAGACAGATTTTTTGGCCAACCTAATAGGAAGGGTTGGAGTCATATAGATCTGAAAGCTCTGCTCTGCCACCCATGACTATGGCACCTTTGGGCAAGTCATCTCATGTCTGTGAGCCCCTGGCCATTCCCACATCAGAGAGCCCAGCTAGGGAATGCTTCCCTGAGAAATGATGCCTGGACTCAGAACTGAGAGTGGGACCTGAAGGGTGGGTACAAGAGTGAGCATCAAGAGCCTCCCAGGTGGGTCAAGGGCTAAAGCAGAAGGGCTCTGGGTTCATGAAAGGAACAGAAAAGAATCCCGTAAGGCTTGAGCAAGCCTTGAGCAGCCTATGGATGATTCAAAGGATTTTGAGAGAACCATTTTATTTATTTGGTTTGGTATAAGGTCCATTCTTTGGTATAAGAACCATTTTATTTATTTAGTTTGGGTAGATATAAGGTCCTAAAAAGGATCAGATCTGCATTTCTAGAATGTCTTTGGCTGTAAGGTGAAGAAGAGGTTTGTGGGGTGGGAAGGATGTGGGGAGACCAGTTCTGAGGCCAATGGAGTGGCCCATGGAAGGGGTATTGGAGTGTGGACCGGGGTGCTAGCAGAAGACATGGCAAGAGGCAGATGAAGACGACCTGTATTTAGGATAGAAAACCTATTTTGAAAGAATTGGGGGTGGGGGTGATAGGGAAGGAGAACTCCTGGAACCCTGGGGTGGAGGTTTCTGGTTCTCCTGTCCTTAGATGGTTGTCTGGAGGCCAAGGGACATGGGGAAGGAGTCGGCATTTAGCTTTGAATTCCCTGACTTTAGTTGCCTATGAGGTACCTGCAGTCTGTGTCCTATCCTACAGGGCAACGACCCTGCCCAAGAGCTGTGGAGCAGAACAAGGGACTCCGGCTTTTGTCAGCCCTGCTGCACCATCCCCCTCTATTCGTGTTTGCCTGCTGGTCCTAACCTGTCCCACAGCCACCCCTTCCCCATGTCCTCCCCTTGCCTGTGGTTGGGGGCCCGTGACGTCTACACCCTCCCCCTCCCCTGTTTCCGACAGACTGTGGAAAAACGGAAACTGGGAGCTGAGCCGGGCGCCGCCCGAAATAGCATCTGGTGCCTGTTGGTCAGCGCGCTGTCCCAGCGTCCAGGAGCGGGTGACGCTGCTAGAGGCCCCGCCAGGAAATGCCAGCCCTCCTCCACCCGCCCCCAAACGGGGGCCTTGGAGGGCAGGAAACCTGGAGCTGCTCGGTTAGGGGTGTCAAGGGGGAGGGGAGGTTGGGACCCAGTCTGCTTGGTCTGGAGTCCGGTCCTGGAGGGAAGCAGCCTGGAGAGAACAGCAAGCCAAGACTTGGGTCTAAGACGTCGTCGCCACTCTCCGACCTGTTCCCCACCCCTATTCAAGGCTGAGTGCTCCCTAACCTCCAAATAGTGGATCTCTGAGCTTTCTCCCTGAGCTTGTCCTCTTGAGGGAGGCAGTGTGTGTGTACTCTGGTGGGCGGCCAGCTTTATTTTCAGTGGGTATGTTTATAGGGCAGTACTGTGTGCCAGGTACTGACCTAGCCACTTCATAAATATTAATTCCGTCAATCCTAACAACAACCCAGTGAAGCAGGGACTACCCTTACCTCCCTTTTGTAGGTAGCACACTGAAGCACAGAGAGGTTGAGCAACCAGCTGGCTAAGTGGTGGAGCCAGAATTCATTCCTAGGGCAGTCTGGCTTAGGGCTATGCTGGGCAGCAGAAGGAGAACACAGACAGGCAGTCTCAGTTCCATCCCTGCTTCCCCCCTTGCCAGCTGCACATTTCCAGGACAGTTACTTAATTTCTGAGTTCCATTTTCCTCATCTACAGACAGGAGGTAGTAATTGTCCTTATGTCATCATGTTTTTAGGGTTATTTTTAATGGTTAAATCTCTGATTTGAGGAGATGTCATTGTTTTCCCTCCCACTTTCATATGACC